GGGTTGGGGGAGAGGGGGAGGTGGTGGTGTCGTTTGATTCTCCATGGCAGTTTAATGTTCCTACCCTCCCCCCGGCTCTCCTCCCTTGTCGTCCTTGCTTTCCTTCTCCCCCCTCTCCTCACCCCCCTCTTTCCTTCAAAATCCTCCCCCTTCCCCCTTCCCCCTTTGTATTCTTTCTGGACAACGGGTTTGGCGTGCAATTGGATCTCTGATTCGTGTTGATGGCGCCATGTATCAGGAAATTTGCCGCGGTGCAGGTAATCATCGTCTGTAGCAGCCAGTTGGAAAGCAAGGGGCAAGGGAAAGATGAAGAGCTTCGTTGGCAAAGTGATTTCCGATAAGATGCGGAAGTCCGTTGTCGTTGCTGTCGATAGACTGGTTCGGCATCGCCTGTATCCGAAAACGGTCAGGCGGACGACTAAACTCATGGCCCATGACGAGGAGAATGCGTGCAAAATAGGGGACGAAGTACGGATCGAGTCCTCCAGGCCACTGAGCAAAAGGAAACACTGGGTTGTAACGGATATCATAAGGCGCATGCGGGTTTATAATCAACTAAGCTCAGCAGCAGCCGTAGGCAAGAATGTCTCCTCTACCGAGCTTTCAGCTGAAGGAACGCTTGGTGCATCGACGACCCCTCCCGGAAAGGGACAGGGGTAGTCTATGATGGAGGAGCTCCTTCAATTTGGGACGTGATTCATCGCAGAAGAGCATTCCCAGAAATACGTTTTTGCCAAGTTTGAGTTGGTGTTATCTTTTAAGCAGGATATCCACGTGGATCCACGTAACTGATTTTGATTCTTCATGAGCCTTAGCAGCAGATGTGACTGGCACCCGTCCATTTCACGAGCTGCAGCTATAGATGGCTCAAGCAGAAGCAGCAGCAGCAGCTATAGATGTCACAAGCAGGAGCAGCAGCATCAGCTATAGATGTCAGGAGCAGCATCAGCAGCTATAGAAGTCACAAGCAGCAGCTATAGATGGCTCAATCAGAAGCAGCTATAGATGTCACAAGCAGCAGCAGCAGCAGCAGCTATAGATGTCACAAGCAGCAGCAGCTATAGATGTCACCAGCAGCAGCAGCAGCAGCTGTAGATGTCACAAGCAGCAGCAGCAGCTATAGATGTCACGAGCAGAAGCACATGAGCACCACAAGAGATGATGTCGCAATCAGAAGCAGTTATAGATGTCACCCAGACTGGATTTCCTCCAATCAGCGTAGAGTCATTGACTAGTAGTCCTTTCTTTCTGAGCTGTGTGATAATTGCGGGCTTGAGTGATATTTTCTGCCTTCAGGGGCAATAGCTTCCCTGAGAAACAAACACCTGCAGTCTTCACAACTGCTGCCCCCTACCTGTTGCATTCCCCTGAACACAACGCACTCTCAACATGACTGCAGTGGATTTGAAAGATAGCTCGTATGCATGCATGCATGATCGGGGTGTGTTGTGTTGGGGGGAAGACGACAGTGACCCCTTCCTTCACATGTCCTATCTTGGTTGCTGGTGTTCCAATTTCCAAATGTGTGACAATTGCTGCACCGTGTGGTCACGGCTCCCCCGTCGGGGGACAGATCGCCTTTGTGGGCCATCTTGGAGTGACTGAGTGAGTGGAGAAGGTAAGTAAGGAACAGCCTTGGGGACGTGCTTGCTTTCCCGACACGTCAACTGTTAAACGTCAGTTATGGTCACGGTCGTCACGGACGTATGAGGCCTCAAGTGTTATGTGGCAGAAGCGTCTGTAACCGTTCAAAGTGAGTTGGCGGTGGCAATGTGTGCCTTGGGGGGAGGGAGGGGGAACACCCCCGGCCTCAGGTGAGTGGCAGGGATATGGTCGCGACCAAGGGTGGACTGGGGGGAAAGGGGAAGGACACCTGTGACCTTGGTTGAGTGGCAGGGGTGGTAGTGACAGTGACCAGTCCGGTGGCCGGTGACGACAACGAGTACTATGGGTGTTCTGGGGGGAAAGAGGGGGCGGAGGGGGGG